AACTGAGCGATGCCCAACTGAAATTCGAATTAACTTTAATAACTAGCGGTTACCCATTGAGATTTATCAGATATCATTTCAAACGATTCTTCACAGGTATTCAAGCGATATCCGTTTGAAAATATTTCGATATCAATCGATATCAAGAAATTCATAAAAAACTTCTCAATCAACCGACTAGACAAGACAAAAAAACGTCGACAAATTATTACGGACCCTGATGATCTAGAACAATATCTTCCAAAGAAGAAACCATGGGATCGAGAAAAACTAATTGTACATTATCGTTATGAAAGTAGTCCAATTGTACGATATCGCCAAGAATTTGGTCGTTTCTGGAAAGATTCTTATGTCAATGATCAGTCGCGTGTCAAAGATGTTCGTCTAACTGTTGGTATACGCATCAATCCATCACTGGAGCATCGATTGGTTAAAAAGAGGCCTCCTCAAGTTCTCTTGAACAATAGAAAGTGAGCACTAAGACGAACAATACTTCAGGGACCACCGCAAACAACCACAAGTCGGCCAAATTGACTGATCAGACATTTACATTTTTTTCTTCTGAAATTCTACTAATTTGTCTCATTTTGCATATATCTTCAGATGTGCTGTCTCTGTGTGAAAAAAGTCTTCAAAAATAACGCTTGTTTATCTTCATTAGACTTTACTTCTAATGCCTTATGTCTCATTCTAGATAAGTATATATAGAAAATAGACATCGCTGTGCATAACAAGAGAGAGAATATTCTACAATCGGCTATCGAAGGGAAACAAAGTCTGATCGTTAGAATCAGGTAAGAACTACAGAAGAAAAGCCCTGAAAATGTCTACTATCGGTCAAAAGTCATTCTATACGTATCCTTTTTTCTCTTTGTGCTGCACAGATACCAGACAAGCTAGAAATGACCAGAGATGTGCGCCGGTCATTTTTTACTCGCCGCCGCCGCTGAAGTCGGAGAAAAATTATTGCGACTTCCGCCGCCGCTGACAGCGGAGAAAAACCGTTCTGACTTCCGCCGCCGCCGCCGCCGCCGCCATGTCGTTGAACTTTTGTCGCCGCCGAGGGCGGAGAAAATTTTGACTATTTTTTTTAGTACCTTCTTACCTTAGGCATCTAGCGTGCAGCGTGTTTCTATCTTTTCGTACACAGATACAGTCAGGGCGCGAAGAACGTGCCAGAAATGAAAGAGAACGAGAACTTTTTTCTCGTTTTAGAACTTAAATTATGGGATTCGCCGCCGATGACTAACATTTACACGCCGTCGCCGAAGGCGGAGGAAATTTTCATAACCTCGCGCCGCCGCCGCCCATGGTAAAAGTTTCATTCGCCGCCGCCGAAAATTTTTTATCGGCGCACATGTCTGGAAATGACTACCAGCGAGCAAAGATTATCAAATATATGCTTCTTTGCCTTCTGTGCTAGACAGACAGTATTAGACCTTAGGTATGTCGGGAAACGGTCAAAAATCACTATATACCCAGATTTGTGTCCGTTCCGTCTGACCCGTCGACGACTCTGGACACATCTCGCAGCAATCGACAATCATCATATAGATGCTTATTTTCGTTCTACCACTCTTTCTTAGAGCAAACAAAGAGAACTGACTTTCCACGACACAAGACGATCGCTTTCACATCATCTGCTATTCTTTCATTCACTCTCTCTATTCATCTCTGACTATAAACAGGTCTGTCTTGCAGTGAGAATATTCATTCGACCGAGCACAACGAACTGGGTTAGTTGAATATTGATCTTCTTCATTTCTATTTCTATCATTCCTTAGTCGGTGTTACTCACACAAAAATAACCACAACAACATGACGCAATAACACCAGCCTGGGTTTTTAATACCCATCAGACTAAGCACAGACAATAGATAACCCCTAGCTGTCCCTCATATGTCTCGGTCGGATTTTGCTCGCAAAAGTCCAAACAACCGTCTCATTCATGCATATAAATAAACCCTGCATACCCTGTAAAACAGCCTTTTCCTTTCATCCTTCCTAAGTCACAGAATATCTCAAAGTCTCCATATCCCCTGAACAGAATAGAGAACACGTAATGCAACTTTTTCCAGCGATACAGACAACAATTCAAAATGTGAACGATAATCAATCATTTCTGTTCTATCCATTTCTTCGCCTCTCACCAATTTTTCATCACTTTCATTACCATCCATTGACAAACTTGGCAATCATTGCAAATACAAAATAAAGCGAAACAAGCAGAATACTACCCGAGAAAAATCCTTTCTAATTCACATAACTATTATTAATAACACAATATTCAAAAGCACATTCGATATACCCATTGAGAAAAGACGAAACCGGTCGTAGCTTCTAACTCACAATAATACTCACACTCTCAGCAAGCTATGGGTCAACTCCAAAAAGATCATTGTTACTACTCTTGGTTTACTACAACATGAGTACGAGTCGCAAAGATACAATTGTCAGAAGATATACTATGACAACTGGGCTATATTTTGCTAAAAACTAAGATAACTTTTAAACACATTTCACACGGTCAAAAATGTCCGAAATTACACGTTTCACCGTTGATCTTAAAGATGCGTTTTATCCGCATGTGCCTTTTCCACCATTTTAACGATGTTAAATCTGAAAAAAATGAGACCAAAAAACGTGAAAATTCGAACATTTTTGACTGTGTAAAATGTATTTAAAGACAAAACGCAAAACCACTATTTTAACGCGTCAATTTCACTTTTCTGATTGCTTGGGTATCCAAATCGTGAGTAACGTAAAAATCGAATATCTCTCTCTAGCCAAGCCAACAGTCACTAATATTTTTATCTTGTTAGTTTGGCGGTAAGAGCTTTCATTTGATTCGAGTACGTGCTATCTTTTTAACTGACACTACAAACACCTCTATTTTGAGTACTTTTTCGTACTGCATTGTCATGACTTTAAATATGAAAATTCGTTTTGCATTGTCAAATAAACTAGAATTAGTATGTCCTTATCAGTCTTTCTAACCGCATCATCATCAGTGAGTCTGCAAAATGATAAGAGTTTTACAAAGTCAATGCACCTCTGTAGTTTCTGTATGGTGTCAACAGACCTGTATGATATTACAACGTAAGCACACTAAAAAGAATAATAAAACAGAAGAACAAGTTGTTCGTTATTTTTTATCTATATTAAACACAACTTTTGCTTTTTTCATTATTTTATTCGTGTATTTATGATGAATGTAATTACAGTATTTTCACAATTTCAATTATACGCCCCGAAAAAAATAGTTAGACCCTGTATTTTGAATATATTTCCACTATAAAAACACATTTTTTTAAAGGTAATTACATATTCTGAGAGCCCGTAGAATTTTCTATCACCCTCTATAATTAGGTTTTAGTTTGCACTTATGTTTTACCAAAAAAGATTGAGTGCAATGAAGGCATCCTCATGTCCAGATTCCCACAGACTGGATTTTGTCACTGTCGTTAAAATTAGTTTTTAAAATTTTTTTCACTATAGAATTACCTTTTTAAAAAAAGTAATTACATATTCTGATAGAGCTTCAAATTCTCTATCACCTCATATATTTATCTATTTTCTTGCATTTATTTGTTAAAAAACTAATTTGAGTACAGGGAACGCACCCTCAATTGACAAGTACCAATAATCCGCATTGTTTTCGCTACTCAAAGTCAAGAGAATATATTAATACATAGGATGATAGAGAATTTGAAGCGCTATCAGAATGTACAATTTCTTTTGTAAAAAATTGTTCCTATAGGAATAATAATTTGAGGAAAACTAAAAAAGTAGTGAAAAAAATACGGATTTTTTTATATTTGTCAATTGAAGGTACGTTCACTGTACTCAAATTATTTTTCAACAAATAAATGCAAGGCAATAAATAAAGATATTGGGTGATAGAGAATTTGAAGCACTATCAGAATATGTAATTACTTTTTTAAAAGGGTAATTCTATAGTGATGAAAAGTTAAAAAAACTAGTTGAGGAGACAAAATCTAGTCTATGGGAATCTGGACATGAGGGTGCCTTCATTGCACTCAATCTTTTTTGGTAAAACATAAGTGCAAACTAAAACCTAATTATAGAGGGTGATAGAAAATTCCACGGAATATGTAATTACTATGTAATATACTATATATAGAATATGTAATTACTTTTAAAAAAATGTGTTTTTACAGTGGAAATATATTCAAAATACAGGGTCTAACTATTTTTTCCGGGCGTATATATAATTCAACCAATGAAGAGATATTTTTCATATATATCCATGCAAGTAAAACCAAATTGTGAAAAACCGATATGTGAAACAAGCCTGTGTTTATTTTGTTTTATCCTTGGATTCGGTAAAATGAAGTTGAAATATTCTTTCTGTATTTTAGATGAAATTTCTTATTACATTTTTACTCATATTTTTATCGTTCGGTGATGAAAAAGCGGTTCCATTAGATGCTACGGTAGTTTCCACAAACATAGTGCTAGATCCTCCACCGGCTAATAATGTGACTGTTTATGTAAGATGGACATTCTTTAATGAAATCAACATCACACATGTTGTAATGATCATTAACAATCTTAAATCATCACAATATGCTGCTATGGGTCTCGGACAAAATCAATCTATGGTGATTATAGAAGAATAGCTTTTAGAACTCTTGGGGCAGTGAGAACATTTTTATGACCTTTATTTTCCATTAGAAAGGAAAGATTAACTGTAATCCTCTTCTTGACTATTGGTCTTTAATGAATAAAACGAATATAGAAACATACAATGTTCTCTCTGTCCCACGCCTAACTGTTTAAAATTATTATATTTCCTTGAATGTGAAGTATATGTATAGGAATAAAATTTTCATTTCTAGGGTGAAGCGCATGTGTTTATGTGTAAACGATTCGCTAATGACCAAATTGCTATACAGCGATTTATAAATCCTATGAATCATACACCTCCTGCACCTGCTGGATCAGAACAAGGTGGTAAATTTACACCTTTACCTGGAAGATTTATAGATGGTGTTGTTACTTGTCAGTTTCTTTTGTCCGATTTTGCTCCTCAAAGAGTGAAACAACTTAACACATTAAGACCACTTTCACAATCAGGAAAATATCATCCTCTGTTTGCCGTTGGATTGGTGAACGCTACGGGTAAGTCATTTTTTTTAAATAATCTCTTGAGAAATTTCAAATGTTTAATCCAGATTTTTCTTAAATGAAAATTTAAAAACAATTAAACTATTAATTTTTTTAGGTGACGCACAATATCATGATGGACGTGAACCTCAGCCTGGTCTTGTTCAATTAGATCAAAATCAAAATTTAATATATCACCAAAACAGTTCTAAGCTATTCAATGAAATATATCCGAGCTCATAGAATTGTTATGATTTTCGCCTGAATACGTATTCTTCAAATTTGACACATTAACATCAATAACGAAGTACTAGTTTTATGATGAATGAACGTTTTTAAAATAAATAAATAATTTTATGATAAATAATTCTTTTCTTAATGGGCAAGTATCGATAAGAGCATTATTTTTGTCCAAAATATTTTGAAAAAGAACTATGTATTCGGGACCAGCGTAAAATTTTGAGTAAAATGATTTACCTTTTGCTGTCGAAAAATGAATTTCATTTTTCACGGCCTGGGGGACACCTTAGGACTGTCGAAAACACTGTTTTCTCAAATTTTAATGAAGGTAGCATCATTAGACGCGAAATTTAAAGCTGATTCCGAATTTCAGATTAAAATTCAATTTATCGAAGGATGTTGAAGGGACTCTATTCATCACAAAAAAAGAAAAAAAACTTCTCCTAAGATTTTAACTTATAGGCACATTAAATACGCTGTAAATCCCTTAAAACTCACATATTTCCCTCGAGGCAAGCCAAGCGCCGCAAATATTTTAACCTTGTTAGTTTGGCGATGAGATCTTTCATTTAACCCGAATATCTTCCATCTTTTTACTTATCAACACAAACACCTCCATTGTTAGAAACATTGGCGTTTTTGCAAATCTGCGGTACAAAAGTTGACCTATCGATCAAGCAATCTGAAACATTTATAAAACAGCAATAGCATTGACAGTATCGAATACATTCAAAGTATAGAACTACTGTATCTTGACACTGTAGTTTTACCAATTTGAAATCTCTTAGCAAGATTCATGAATGGAAACTTCTGTCGTAACTTCATAAAAACTAGCACGAATTGTTGACTTTATTGGCTGAAAATGCACGAGATCGACTGCTCGACTATGTGTTCCTTCCAAGTGCCGTTTCTGAATATGAACGTGATGCTCGACCAGAACCATCTGTGTGCAGAAAAACAGTCAGATTATTTTACAGAAGTCTTTGGCAAAA